CAGCGCACACGATCCGCACTTGCCCCTTCTCCACTCTGTACAGCACGCCCGATATCGTCCCGTTGCACGTCACCCACGGCAGGTCTGGCGGGGACCCCGTGCCCCCGAACTGTTGCCCCGCGGCGATCCCCGGCCGCAGACTCGACGCCTCGTGCCCCCCCACCCCCTCCAAGCTCGCCGACGACCCCTGCCTCCACACCCCGCTCGACTGCGGTCGCTTCACATCCTCGTCGCCTGCGGACGCACTCTCCACCGCAGCCCCCTCCGCCTGCTCTGCACTACCCGACCCCGCGCCACACCCGCCACCCTCGTCCCCTGCGCCCGCCGCTCCCCGACATCCGCCACCCTCGCCGCGACCCGGGGTCCCAACTCCTGAACTCCCTTTCGACCCACCACTTTGCATGCCCTGCCCGCTGCCCTGTCCGCCGCTCCCGCCTGCGTGCGACTCCGCCCCCAGGCTTGCAAATGCACTCCCCACCATCCCCTCCCTTCTCAATCCCACCGCATCCGACTTTGACCGAGACATCGCCGACTGAGGTCCCAGCGGCGACGAACTCGCACCCGCGCTCGTGCGCAGCCTGTTGAACGCCCCACTGCCCATCGAGCTCGCCTTCACCAACCCCTGTGGATCACACTCCCCACCTGGCGAAGCGTTTCGACTGCGACCGTGTTCGTTGCCTTTGCCAGCACCTGCGCGCACAACCCCCACGTCCAACGTGTTACCCTCCAATCCCAACAACGCCCACCAAAGCACCACTCACTCCCAAGCCCCCCGCACCCAGGAACTGCATATCCCGACTCCCCCTGGACCTCCTTCCCATCCACATCCCCTCACTGCTCCTCCCCCATCCACATCCCCTCACTGCTCCTCCCCCATCCGCATCCACGCATTCGCAATCAATGACAGCGGACACCACCTCTCGACTCTTCCGTCCATTCCCATCCCAACGCATCCCCCGCTGCTGCTGCTACCACCCACACCCCATCGCAACGCTGCCCCACTCCCACCCCCTTTGCCTACCTCGACCGCCGCGTCTCTCGTCCTCCCGCACCGATCCCGCCTGCCCACTCTTCCCTGCTCCGCTCCGAGGTGGAGATTCGGGGGGACTGACGTGCGGCCGCACCACCGCACCCGCCCATCCTGCGCCCCCTTCCGCCGTCTGGATCTGAAACGCTGGATACCCAGGAGGCAATGCCACCTGAAACGGACTCGCCATCACACCGTGCGCTCGTTGCTCTTGGTTCCCGTCCCCTGGGTTTGCTGGAACCGCCCCGAACTGCATCACGTACGGAAACGGGAACGGCATGCTGAACGGCACTCCGCCCGCACCACCTCCGCTCGCCACCGGCATCGGAAACGGAAATGGCCCTGGCATCATTGGAAATCCTCCGCCCGCTGGGAACGGCATGCTCATCATTGCCATCGCACTGCGATCCGGCCCCATCACGCCGTTCGCCGGATTGCTTCGACTCTCCACGGCCCCGTTCGCCCCCGCCGGGCTCGACAGCGCTTCGGCATCACCCTGCTCCATCCTCGCCCCATTGTTCGTCTTCTCGTCCTTCCCGTCCGAGCTCTCCGTCCCACCGGAGCTCGTCTGGTTCGATCCCCGGCTCTTCTTCGCACTCCTCTCCGCCTCTCCCGACCCACTCGCACCCGCACCCGCACCCCCACCCGCCCTGTCTGCCCCTCCGTCGCCTCTTCTCGCCATCCCCCCAAAGCTCGACATCATCTTCGCTGCATTCTCCCGTTTGCTCTCCATCATCGCTGCCAACTGATAACCGCTCATCTGCACCCCCATCGTCCTCTGAATCCATCCCGGATCCATCTGCCCGTTGCCCATCGCCCTTGCTGCAGGATCCATCTCCTGCCTGCTCGCGCTTCCTGCATGCCTCCCCTCACCGCTCGCATCCACGTCCATCTTCTCCATCGGAACCACACCCGGCGACCCACACCCACCCTTCCGATTCTCGTTCACCGCCTCCATGTGCATTCCGCTCCCGCTGCTGCTCTCTTTTGCACCCCTGTCCCTCGCCTTCTCCACACCACGCCGGCTTTCCGACGCCTGCTCGCCCGACTCCGTCCTCCCGTCCCCACCTCCCACTCCGTGCATCGACTCTACCTTGGCCTTCGCCGCGCCCGCGCCTCCCATCCCAGGACTGCCTTCCCAATTGTGATGCATCCACGAACTGCTTCCCGGTCTCCGGAATGCCGTCAACCCACCACCCTCGCCGCCATGCTGCGATGCGTCCTGGCTCTCCGCCGGGGACGACACCGAGTTCTCCTTGCTCATCGCGCACGATGGCTGCAGCGAACTCGTCCTCCTCAACCCGCCGGGAGGACCCTCCACCCCACACTTTCCATTGCTCCCGCCTGTCCCTGTTCCCGCCCTCTCCTCCTCCTTCTTCGTCTTCCTCGACTTCGCCTCCTCCAGCAGCGCTTTCCTCTTCCGCCGGGCCTCCTGCCGCTTCTGCGTCTGCAGCTCTTTCTTCCGCAGCTGCTCCGCCAGCTCCTGCTGCTGAATCATCGCCACATGCCGCTGCTGCTGGTCCATGTGCATGTTCTTGCTCACGTCTGAATCGCTCCTCTCCAAATCACCATTCGCGCCTGCCGTCTGCTGCGACATTGTGGGAGACGGAGCTCCCACCACCTCCGACTGTGGAGCGGACGAATACGACTTCATCGACAGCGACCGCTGAAACCCCCCTTCCCGCGTCGCCGGATCCACGCCATCTTTCATTGCCTCCAGCAGCTGCTGCATTGGGAACCCACCTTGCGCCACCATGCGCGCCCACACCGCTGCAGTCGCCACCGCCTGAGGGGTAAGACCCTGCAGCTCCTTCATCAACCTCGGTTCATCTTGCGGACTCCCATCCCCGCGCTGATGCTCCCCCTGCCCCGATGTCCCCTGAAGCACCTGCCACATGTACTGCTCGAACATCTTCGAGTCCTCCGCCACCGAACTCTCTCCACCCCGCCAATTCGCCTCTCCTGCCTGCGCTCCCGACGGACCTTGCCGACCAGCAAAACCCCCGCCCACACCCTTCTCCTTCGCATCGCTCCCTGATCGATCCGCATCCTGCCAGAATGCCTGGCTCGCTCCGTCTTGATCCGTCTTCAACACCTTGAACATCATCCCACAGCCGTGCGACGCCTCCTTCGCCACCCCGTCATCCCTCCGCTGCCCATGCTCCTGCGACCCCTCCTTCTCCCGGAATGCGTCTCTGTCCAGAAGAACCTCCCTCTCCTTCTCCTTGCTCTTCAGTTTGCTGCTCTTGCTGCCTCCCCCTCCCCCTCCTCCTCCCAACGACAGACCCAGATTCAGATCAAACCCACAGTCGTCGTCCGCGTCGTTCCCCAGCCGGGACCCGCTGTCGCGTATGTCGTTCCAGGGGCACTCCGACGCACTGCCTGGCTGATCGGGCTGCAGGCACCAGCTGTGCATGATAGGGGGAGCCACACCCCATGATCCCCCTGCCTTCGCCTCATTGCTTCCCGATGCGTACCCATCCTCCGCACTGCCACCCATGACTGCTCCACCCCCCGCTCCCCAAACCCCAGCGACCGCGACCTCCCGTAGCGCTCACCTCCAAGACCACCACTTCGGTGATGACATCTGCACGCAAATTCAATCCACGGATCGGAGCGTCAGAAATTATGCCCACGCACATCATGCAACGGACCAACACACGCTCCAGCACCTCAATCAACCACCAACAACTTTCACTGCTCGAATGGAAAGCCTGGCAGACGGCCTACGCCTTGGATGCAGCCCGAATGAAGGATGATATGAATGTTCTCAAGACGCAACATCAAAGCTGCACCAAAACCACAAAGAACCGCAGGCCCTGTCGAGTTGAATCGAAGGATCGAAATCCAGGGGCAATTGTGTGGGAAGCGAAGAGAGCAAGCAGGGTCTCTGCTTCTACCCAGAAGAATGCAAAACCCAAGAAATTAAGCATGACGGCTGACGATCACAATCACTTTTTCGAGCCTAGTAAACAATGTTTATTTTGCATTATGTTTCCTTGCATCTGCATCGTTTTGCATGGGTTTCAGACTGTTTTCTCGAGTTGCTACAGGATTGCTACGTGTTGTTATCTAGAACGAATAACAGATGACAGTCGTCGAACTAACATGTATTCTTAACTGCAAAACGACATCTCCAGGCAGGGCTCATCAGTTCGGAGCTTAGTCAGCTAGTGCGAGTTCTGTCGAATCAGTATTGCTGTGTTGTGGAAGCGAAACCTCGACACGCTCTATAGAAGTCACAGGGGATAAAGCAGCCCTTGGGGTTGTTAACTTGGCTCAAAGAACACAGAATCTTAATTATAAACACTGATCAAAAAAAAAAAAAAAAAAAAAAAAAAAAAAAACTCCAGCAAGCACACCGCATAGACTCTTTCAGATTGAAATACCAATACGCACACCTCTGTGTCCCTTCTTACACGACGAGGGAATCTACTTTTCACCACAGAAAGAAACTCAATGGACCTACCGCTTTCTGCCATTCACAAGCATTCACAGACAACCTACGAGCGAACTCCATTTGCGAGGACATTTGCACCACCAATCTATAGACAAATGAGCATCTAACACGGGACTACAAACTACGCACCCATCAAATCCTGCACTGGTTGGACTCTTGTGGCGCAGCAGGACTGCTCACGATTGCACAACAGCTTGTTTCGTCAGCTATATCACTTTTTACACCACGCAGCGGCGATGGCCTCGACTACACGTGCTTCCCAACAAAGTGAGGCCCATCACCAACGCAGTCTACTAGTTCCGATGTTTTCACCATACAGCACATCACACAGCACAAACTCTCCGTCTCCCACGCGACCACTCACACACGATCGATGCAACACACATCTAAAGCTTGTCCTGCAAGCACGACCAAACATCCCCAAATGCGCATGGAATAGCATCACGAGCTACGCACCACTCCTTCCAATCCAGCTCCAGCCATCTCCAACCCACCCACGAGCACTCCATCCACATCCTCGACGCCAACCTCCCAAAAGCCACCTCCTCCTCCTTCTTCTCCTTTCCAGAGGTGTTAGTCCTCCGACCCCAGCTGGGCAAAAGAAGAAAGCGCATGAATGAGCCCTAAGAGTGCCAAAGAAAAGACTCCAACGTGGGAGGGGAATTAGGTTGGGATTACTAAGCTGCCTGGGGACCACAACAGACTCCGATGCGGCGACCACCGGATCACGGCTTCCAAATAAAACGCTGTTATGCTAAGAGAGTGGATTGTTCCAGGCGAGCGTCTCGTCCTGGTGAGTAGCATATGCGTCTGGCCCCAGAGGGGAGGGTGAGCACGCCCAGGCAGTTCCTGAGGGCGACCTACTTTTTGTCCAATAGGCGAGGCAAGCCTTCACCTCTCCCACGCCAGGCACGTGACGATTAGCCACAGCGTCTGAAACTGTAGTCCCCCCCCTTTCTGAATTCCCTTGGCCGGAATCTCACCACCACCACCACCTGGCGCCCCATAACCACTTCCATCCTCCAGGCCCCCCGAACCCCCCAATCTTATTACTATTATTATACTAGGCACGTCCACGCTGGGCTTTCAGGTCCGTATTTCTCCTGTCATGTGGTGAGGTTCATTTATCTCCTTCTCTGTAACCAGTGTGCATACATGCTAATTGACATGCTCATACTTTCTAGAAAGGAAGATGAAGCTTCATCTTGATGACAACAATATGGCTTGCTGTCTATTTGTAAAGAGAGAGTTTTGTTTAGAATTTCTGATATGATTCTTGCCTGTGTTGAGTTCAAGTTGTACTTATTAGTCCAATTGCTTGCACTTGGACTTTAGACAGTTTTGAATCAAGCATTTAGCATCTTTAGTGAGAAATGCCTTGTTTGTTTGTTTTTCTTTTCTTTTTTGTTTTTTTTCCATCAATTTTAACAAGTGTGGAAATTCCCTTATTCTTTGATTTTCTTTGTGCATGGGTGAAAGTTGCTCAGGGACATCATGGGAATCACCAAACACTGAACAATCCCCTGAACAAGTTGAGACTATGTCCAACACATGAGACCCCTGATTCTCCTCCAGTGGGGTGGCAAACCCTAATATTGGTTTGGGTCTCAAAGCCATGTCCCACAAGCTACCCTTCAACTTCATTTAAGTTTGTAAAAAATCAACTTGGGCAAGTCTATCATCCTTGTGCAGTTGAAATTGTCTTAAACTCTACCCCCCCCCCCTCCCCCCTAATGCAACCACAAAGCCTCTTCTTTGTTGTTTTTAAAATTAATTCTGAGATGTGCTTGTGTGGAGATATGTGTGGTCCATGCAAAGCATGGCACTTGCTTGACACACACACACACACACTTTTGCATGTGGTATGTATGTGTATATGTATATATATATATATATAGGCTTTGACCTTGATTAAAATCTTCCATGAGTGTAAACAGGGCTCCCAATCTACTGGGATTCACTATAATTATAATATTATAATGAAATGGGCTGAAAGTTGATTGTTCAATTTGGGAATATCAATGTTCTATTAGGACAAACACATGGAACACATTTTTTGCAGATACAGAGAACCTCATTTGAAGCTCTGAGGCAAGTACTTGATATCAAGCTTTGTTTTTAATCCCATATTTATTCCATCATGGATGGCTTTATCTGTATATTATGGTGAGAGAAAACTAGCATATAATTCAAACAACAAATGGAAACAAATTTGTTTGATTTTTTACTTGGAAAGAACTCACTGTGTAAGGAGCCACCATAAAAGTTAGATGCCTATCACAAATATGACAATCACCAATGGTGTGATGTAAAGCTAACTTTTTCCTATATCATTTGCCCTCTTTTTTCTAGTGTAGAAAATCACACAATTAGATTGAATTGACAGGATTGGTGCACAACTCGTGCCAGCCACCTATTAACTGCTGTGGACCTGTAAACACACAATATGTTTGTGGCCTATCATGTCGAAAGGCAGCACAACCTGGACCATTGACCAATGAGAAACTTCACTCTCCCCCCCCTTCCCACACAACCTGCGAAGGCAGTGCCAGCTTACGGATAAACCTTGGCACCCTAAAACCACGCAAGTCCACCACCTATAGCTGGGCGACACCACAACCCGCATAATCCGATGCCTACTATCAGTTAACTAACGGGGGACCCAAGACCATGACAGGGATCTTTCTCCAGTGGAAAAGATCCCCCCTAATTACAAAACAAAAAGTGCGAGGGAGATACTTTTGGCTTTCTCGGTCATAGGATCCCACGTGCATAGACCGAAAGACTGGACCCTCAAAGCCTACGTGGAACAAGAGATACACACGCTAAATGCTTAGACACTGCCATGTTTAGCTTCGCCGTGATTTATATAAAACACGTGAAGCTCAACTTTTCAACCTTTGGAAATGAGTTTCATGATGTGTTGACAAAACCGACAAAAACTCTTTAAAAAAATAGACTGTTTCTCCATCTCGTGACTCCACACAGACAGCTGCTCCCTTCAATACTCAAGAATTCTACCGCACAAATCCAATGTGAAGTGGATGTAGTTATGCAAAATCCTCACAAGGGGGACAGGGACGTAGGTCCTAGAACCGAAGAGTGTTTCACCCGCTTGTGTTGAAAGAGCAAGGGTTCGGCCCACTCTCATGTGACTAAAGTTCCCAAGTACTGCCACTTCGGAAAATGATAAAGTCAGAAGAACTAGCTCACCCAAATCCTAATTTCGGGGGCAATAAAGGGCAGAATCCCACACCAGCAGGATCCCTGATGTCGTAGCACAGGCTCGGGTCCTCCTTCCCTCGCTCCCTCCCCCAACCCCAGGCTCGATGCTCCACCCTCCCTGTAGATTAGTCGGGAGAGGTAGATTTGTGTGGAGTCCGAGCCAGCATCAGGCAGAGTGGGCCGGGCGAAAGGACAAAAAGGGTGCGCAATCCCGGCCCGTCCCTTGCAACTTGCGATTGGTTCGACGTGGCGTCCTGAGGGAAGAGAGCGGGTAGAGGCAAAACCCTAGCACGGGGTTTCGGGGTGTACGAGTGGACTCCTGGACTGTACGATATGGATGAATGTATTACATGGATGATGACTTGGGAACCAAGATAAAAAAGGAAAAAGGAAAAGCGTCGAAAGGTCCACGTGTGGGCGGAGGGATAGTGATGACGTGGCGTTTTCATGTGGATTCGTTTTTTCATTTGTGTTTGCTTCACATGTAGACAAATTTATTAGAGGGCATCAAATTTGGGGATTGGATTGTGGATTCTTGGCAAGGGAATCCACTTGATCCAATTTTCTTTGGACAAGCTTCCTCAAAAGTGATTGCTTGTGTGCAGAACATGAAGAAATGTTTTCAAGCAAATGAGACTATCTTCAAAGGTCTTAGTACCATACATATTATATCTTATTATCTATTTAAATAGGAATAAAAATATTATTTTTAGATATCTATAATCTGATTCTAATAATGTAAATATTATAAGACAATCTTTGACATTTATTTAGAAGATTTTCAATATGAGATTCTTGAAGAAAAATCTATTGATCTATCTTGATTTATTTTTCAAAAATTTCTAGTTGTAAAAATTTTCAAAAAAATATATTTTTATTTTTATTTTTATGTTGTACCATCTTGTTTTCAAAAGGTTAACACTTAGTATTGATACATGTTGTTGATAAAAAAATAAAAAACTAATTATAATTCATTTGTTAGATTCTTAAATAACTTTTAGATATGGTCATTAACATCATATTTATACTAATGTATAAGGTGCTCTAATTTAATTTAATATTAACTTAAATCCAAAACGTATTATTTTGATCAATTTTAGAAAGAATACACTATAAATATTTAATATATATATATATATATATATATATATATTTATAGATGTCTTCTTTTGATTAATTTTTAGAGAGATTTTTTTTTTTTCTTTTTCTTATTCGCTCTTAATTGTTGTTCTTGTATTTAAATGCCAAAGTGGTAAAGCTTTGTAGAAGCTCTTTTAAAAAATACTTAAACATTTATATTTGATGTACTACTTGTTAAACTTTTTATAATTATTATTTTCATATTTTTTAGATGCATAAATATTATCTATTTCTAATTGATTGTGTAAGACGTTCTTAAAATTAATTCATAATGCAAAATTGTTCATAAATATTTCTATATTGTCTATAATTTGTTTTATGTGTAGAAAAATAAGTATAGATACCCTCTTTGTCTTACTCTATTTTAGTCTAGAATATGTCTTAAAAATACGTCTAACATAAAAGATTTGTTTACTAGTCAAAGTTGTGTTTTTTTCAAAGTTCTAAATTCTTTTTTACACTGTTTATATTCTTGGAGTAATAAAATACCTTATCTACGCCTAATTATTTAAACATAGCCATGTGATTATAAAACTTTAATAAGATTAATAAATTTTTAGATATTACATAACATGAAGTTTAATTTTATAGCAGAAAAAATTTAAAATTAGATAATTTAGAATCTTAAATTGAGAAATTTTTCCAAAAAACCTACACTTTTATTTTATAATTTTCTTTCATTGTTTATTAATCTATTAAAAATATAAAAACACTAATTAATTTTGATTTTTGTCATTGAAATTAAATGATGAGATAGACTTAAAAATTTTATTTTTTTTAAAAATAAGTAGATAAATAATGCAGACAATAGAGCATACCATAGTTATGTTTAACCACTCACTTAAGTTAGTGCTTTGGTTTTAATCAAATATTCATTTAACTCGTTTAGGTACATGTTTATGGTGCCTACTTATATTTTTATATATATCAATAAGTATATTGTTTCATATTATATTTATTTTGGTTGGAATAATAATAATTTATTTTTGCACTTTGCATTTGGATCTATAGAGCTACATACTTTATTAAAAGAATTATATTTAAAATTAATATTATTTAATTTTATCACCGTTTTATATTTTATCCAATATTTTTTTATAAAATTCAATATGCAACACAACATTCAATACTTTTAATAACTTAATATAGTTTTTATTTCAAAATTAGATGCAATTAATTTCTATAACTTGAAATATTTTAATTTACATGTATCTATGCTAGTCATTACAATTTTGTTTCTTATAACAATAGTTGTCATTTTTAAATTGCCATTCTTACATTAATTTGTAATACTTTCAAGTTGGAACATTTGAAACCAACATAACATATAATCTGACTTTAGACCACATCTTATATCAAAGCCATAATCTTTTATATCAATTACTTAAATTTCGTATAATTATTTATTGCAACATGAATTATTATTTTTATTGACAATCTTTCTTGATTCAAGGTTCTTATTTTGTTTTAG